CGCCCCCGAGATGCACACGCTCCCTCCGCCCTCCAGATGCACACATGCTTCTGGTCGGATCCACGCCCGCTCTTCAGTGAACCAGTGTCCCTTGTAGAGTTCTCCGTCCTGGCTTCTGCCCCAGGTCACTTGCGAGCGAGCCCCTTGCACTGACTCCCCATCTTCACCCCTGGAACGGGTCTATCTCAGCACCCTTGGGAGGAGAGCCTCAGAGGAGAGCTGGGACCGCCACACTGAGCTAGCAACGCACCTGGGCAATCCCAGGTCTGGAGGTCCCAGTCTGTAACTGCAGCTCTCTGCTGTGCAGGTGTGGGAATGCTGCAGTCTCCTTCCGCAGAGAATGTGCTCAGCCACAAAGGACTCACACTCCAGGGTCTGTCCGCGGCTCCTGCAGCTGCGCCCTTGGCCGCTGTTGCTGTGGCAGCAGGCCCCATCAGATCTCCTTCATGGCTGCACGGTTCTCTCCTTCCCTGTCTCCCCTCCCAGGGGTCAGGGGTTCAAGAGCAGCCTGACCAACACGGTGCAACCTCGTCTCTACTAAAAACACAAAAATTAGCTGGGCGTGGTGGCACACACCTGTAATCCCAGCTACTCGGGAGGCTGAGGCAGGAGAATTGCCTGAACCTGGGAGGCGGAGGTTGCGGTGAGCCAAGATCGTGCCACTGCACTCCAGCCTGGGCGACAGAGTGAAACTTCCTCTCAAAAAGAAATGTACTGCCAGGGAGACCTCACCACAGGCCCACCTTAGACAGGAGCTCTGTCCCTACAATTCAGTGCCCAGGTCGCGCTCCAAAGAAAGCCTCATTCAGGCTGAGGATGAGGATATGAATGAGAGTGACTTGTCACGGCAGCAAGTTGGAGGTCACTGGGGTTCCATATTTTGGGAAGCAGATGGGCAAAATACAGGGCTGCCCACAGTGGGGGGGCCCCGGGCACTGGAGCCACATGTGCCACAACATGGAGGGACCCAGCAGGCGGAGCTGGGGGGAGAAAGCGTGCCAGCTCACATCTCAGTGAAACACACCCACACAGCAACAGCACGCTCGGCCCGAGACTGCGTAGGAAGCCGTGCGGGGCGTGGAGGAAGCCAGCAGGACTGTCGCCACCTCCCCTTGCAGCTTCCGTCCTCAAACGAGCGTCCCTCGGGTCTGCGGCAGCCTCAACTCTGCACACCCAGGTTTGGACACCCACAGCACACACAGGGACCCTCGCAGAGCTGTCCCCAAGCCCCTCCCCTGGCCCGTGTGGGCGTGTGAGTGGTAGAAGGCTAGCCCCAGGCTCTGCTTCCCTGTGAGTGATGTGGGCTGAGTCTGACCTGGAGGCCCAGGGCCAGAACCGGAGGGGGGAGGCGTCACGTCATTGCAGGAGTTCAGAGATACCCGACACGGCCCCCCTGAGCTCTTCTTGGCTATGACCTGGGCCTGTCAGAAGCAGCCTGTGAGGAGGGTTGCAAGTGACCCGGACCTGGGAAGGACGGCAAGGTTTGAATTTTGCTTAAAAAAAAAACTTTGCCCTTGACCATCGGGGGACAAGATAGGCGCGAGGCCTCCTGGGAACAGGAGAGGGAGGCCACCCGGTGAGGCTGTAGTCTCAGCACTAGCTATGTATTAAGTGGATGATTTAAATCAGAGTTGCATATCCAAGTAATCAAAGAATAAATAGGCCGGGATGGGTGGCTCACGCCTGTAATCCCAGCACTTTGGGAGGCCGAGGCGGGCAGATGACAAGGTCAAGAGATCGAGACCATCCTGGCCAACATGGTGAAACCCTGTCTCTATTAAAAATACAAAATTTAGCTGGGCGTGGTGGCGCGTGCCTGTAGTCCCAGCTACTCAGGAGGCCGAGGCAGGAGAATTGCTTGAACCCGGGAGGCAGAGGCTGCAGTGAGCCAAGATTGCACCACTGCACTCCAGCCTGGGCGACAGAGACCCTGTCTCAAAAAAATAAATAAATAAATAAATAAATAATCAATCTTTTAGTTACTGGGCTCCAGCCTGGCAACAGAGTGGGACGCTGTCCAAAAAAAAAAAAAAAAAAAAAAGAATAAATACCAAGCTCAGGGCCTGGTGAGGGGCCGGGCCAGACTCTCTGCAACCCTCGTGGCTTCACCCATTTTCCAAACCTCTGGTTCCGTGAGGACCGAGAATGACCACCCCAGACTACCCCAGAAACAGCCTGGGGATTCTGAAAGTCTCCCAGAGCACAGGCAGTGACAGGGAGAGACGCCCAGCCCCTCTCTCTGGAGGGGTGGGTGGTTCACAGCAGGAGGCAGGCAGGCAGAACACCACAGACTGGGGCTCACACGGCAGAAGCGGGCTTCCTCACAATTCTCAGCCAGGAGAAGGAGATAAACACGCAGGCAAGGCTGGGTTCCCGGGACACCTCTCTCCCTGGCTTGGAGAGCGTGTGTTCTCCCCCCGGTCCTTCCCTGTGCGGGCGTCCCTGTCCCCATCAGGACACCAGTCAGATAGGAGTCGGGCCATCCGCTGACCTCACTTAACCTTAGTCACCTCCTGAAAGTCCCTATGTCCAAGCACAGTTGCGTTCCGAGGTCCTGGGGGTCAGGGCTTCAGCTAGGAATAATGAGAGCACTCAAGTCAGCCCGTAACAGCTAACAGCGGGCTTTGAAATAATCTTTTAGGGCACAGTGTCTCACACCTGTAATCTCAGCACTTTGGGAGGCCGAGGAGGACGGATCACCTGAGGTCAGGAGTTCAAGATCAGCTCGGCCAACTTGGAGAAACCCTGTCTCTACTAAAAATACAAAAATTAGCCAGGCGTGGTGACGCATGCCTGTAATCCCAACTACTCAGGAGGCTGTGGCAAGAGAATTGCTTGAACCTGGGAGGCGGAGGTTGCGGTGAGCTGAGATCACGTCACCACACTCCAGCCTGGGAGACAGAGACCCTATCTCAAAAAATAAAGAAATTAATTAATTAATTAATTAATAGTCTTTTAGGAACTAGGCTTCTCAAGGATGCTTTTGAAAATGCCAGCCTTGCTCTGCTGCAAAGGGGGAACTGAGGAAGAGGGACACAGGAGGAGGAGTCCAGTGGCAGGAAGCGACAGTGAGAAAGAAATTGCAGCAAAAAGCAGAACTGAGGGCCGACTGTAACTCTGTGGGTCGCCAGCTCGTCCTCCCCGTCAAACCTTGCTGAGTTTTGTGTTTCATTTTCATCGCCAAAAACGTCATTCAGGCTGGGCGCAGTAATCCCAGCACTTCGGGAGGCCAAGGCGGGAGAACTGCTTGAGCCCAGGAGTTCAAGACCAGCCTGGGCAACACGGCAAGACCCTGTCTCTTAGGGAAAAAAAAAGCTCCTTTTCTTTTTGAAGCGTTTGCGGGAAACATCACCCTCTCTCATTTTACAAATACCGCAGACAGATTTTGAAGCCCAAAGCATCATAGAGGCAGCAAATCAGGACAGGAAGGAGTGAGGTGGGGAGAATATTCCCTGCCTATAAGAAGCACTTAAGAGAGCTGCAAAAAGCCAGCATGAGAGGCAAAAACTGTGGGGGCCAATTGGCACAGGTCCTGCCCTGCGTGACAGGGCTTTGAATAAAATCCAACTGCCACCCCGCGCTGCTGGAGCCTTCCTGCCTTCAGGCCACCCCACTGGCCCCTTCCCCACTGTGCCCCACCGTCGAAGCTCTCACCTGCCCTGGGGGCGCCTGCTGACTTTGCGCCATGAATTTGAACCCCACCCCACAGATGACCTGGTGGCAACCTCTGAAGCTTCCCACTTGTCCTCTGCAGGGCACCTGCCCCTAACGCCACCTAACCCCTGCTCACATAATCTTCCATTTCCTTAACCCCCTGGAGGGCCAAGTCCCAGTGAAGAGCATGCAGGAAACAAGCCCCTGTCCACCTGTCCTCGGGGAGGTTACATCTCGAGAGGGGAGGCCGGCAACACACACACCAACGACTCTGCAGCTGCGATGCTGGCTGTGGAAACTGAAGGAGGAAACTGAAGTGAGGCCGGGTAAAGCCAGAGGTGATGGGGGCTGCCAGGAGGAGCAGGGACCCAGCGGGGTTGGCCCAGAGCAGGGCAGGCCACGTGGCACTCTACAGACCACTGAAAGGAACTTGGCTTTTCATCTGCACGAGGCGGAAAACCGTAGAGGATGGTAAGGGTGAGTGACATCCTCTGACCCTTTATAAAAGCAGCAAGAGTCTAGGAAGCCCAGGTAGAAGTGAGGGCGGCAGGAGGAGGCCGGGCAGCGCAGTGGGCTCGGGGAGCGAGCCCAGGGAGGGTGCGGGGCGACTGGACCCGACAGCCCAGTGGTAGCTCCACCTTGGAAAGCTGGCAGTTTCTAATGCCATGGCTGTTCCACTCCCAGGTGTCACACTCAGGAGAAGTGAAAACACCCACAGAAGGCTCCGAAGCAGCGCTGTTGGTGAGAGCCGCATCTGGGGGTGCATGGATTGGCCCGTCATTGCAGCACTTTGGGAGGCCGAGGCAGGAGCATCTCTGGAGCCCAAGAGTTCAAGACCAGCCGGAGTCCTCCAGAGGGGGAGACTCCCCATCTCTACTAAATGTGGAAAAAGAAATCAGCTGAGTGTGGTGGTGTGCGCCTGCAGTCCTAGAATCCCCTACATGTTAAGTTGATGTTTGCAATCAGACTTGCATATCCAAGTAAATACGGAATAAATACCAAGCACAGGGCCTGGTGAGGGGCTGGGCCAGACTCTCTGCAAGCCTCGTGGCTGCACCCATTTTCCAAACCTCTGATTCCGTGAGGACCGAGAATGAGCACCCCAGACTACCCCACAAACAGCCTGGGCATTCTCAGTGTTTTCCAGAGAATCGTTAGGAGTTGCCCCATAAAGTTGGACGACACTGCCCGGGACAGTCGCGTAAGGGGCAAGGGTGGGAACCCTGGTTCTCGCTGCGCTGCCGGCCCCCGCCCCGCTCCGCCGCGTCGCGCCGGCTCCCCGAGTCCCCGCACGCCGCCGGGGGCGGGCCGGGGCGGGCCGGGGCGGGCCCGGGCGTGGGGGGCCGAAGGAGGAAGCGCGCGGGGCGCCATAAGGAGGAAGCGGGCGTTCGGCGGTGTCCGCGCGCCCGGCAGACGCTGCCTTGGCCCCGACGCACCCGCGCCCCCGCGGCCGGAGGGTGGTGAGTGCCCCGCGCCCCTTCCCGCGCCCCCGGGGTACCCGCCGAGCCCCCGCCCGGGACCCCGCCTGCCCGCCCGCCCGCCGCCCGCCCTGGGCCCGACCGCGGTGGGAGCCGGAGGAGGGGAGGCGACGGTCACCGCGCCCGGCCTCGGCAGCGACCTGCGGGCCGCGCGTCCCTCCGCCCGGCGCCCTCCTCGGCGCGGCCCCACACCTCGGAGCCCGGCCGCCCTCGGGAGGCGGGGAAGGCTTTGTTGTGTCCTCTCCACGTGGCCTGGGGACTCCGCGGGGACGTGCGGGGCGCGGGGAGGGGCGGGCGAGGCCAGCCCCGCAGGAGAAACGCGCGGGCCGGGCCGGGAGCAGGCCCCGCTTCCCGGCGGATCGAACCCCGGCCCGCACCGCGGCCTCTCCAGCGCCGCGGACACCTGCCCGCCCCTCCCCAGCGGAGCTCAGGGCTGGCCCGGCGCCGGGGGCTGGCGACTGTGCTGCCGCTGCCTCTGGGAAACTGCCGAATGGCTGAGTGACCCCCGGGGGCCCTGGGGAGCCCCGAAGCCCTCAGCCAGCAAGCGGCTGTGCTGGCACGGGCTCATTCATTCATTCATTCATTCGGCAACTACGAATGTGCCGCGGTGCTGGGGTCCCGATGGCGCGGCGGGCGGCAGGGGCCGGCTGGAGGAGCGCAGTGAGGACCCTCGGCTGGGCCGTCTGGGGCTGGGTGGGCTTCACCTGCAGGCGGGGTTGGAGCAAGAGGGGCAGATGGACCCGCGCCCCTTCCCGGAAGCTTATCCACACCTCCGGCCCCTCCTCACGGTGGGCGCTGCAGAGGACCCGGCTCCTCCACGTTCGGTCTCCACCTGTGCTGTGCTGAGCGGGCTCTGATGGCGAGAGCGCTCCTGGGCCTGAACGTGCGCCTGCAGTCCCCTGGGAATGATGGCTGAGACCGGGTTCCTTGAGCTGGGGGCTCAAGGCCGTGGGCAGCGCCGAGGGGTCCTCTGGCATCAGGAGCTGAGGTACACAGAGCTCCAGGGAGGCACTGCTGGGAGGAGGACCCTGGCCAGGCCGCCGCCTGCAGCCAGAGGGCGCGTCCCTGTCCCTTCTGCCCCTCTTGCCCAGGAGGGACGAGGAAATGTGTGGGCAGCAGTTCGTGGCTGGGGTTTAAAGGTGGGCATCTCCCAGGACGGGCACAGGGAGTGTCTCGGCTGGTGAGGTGTGAGTGGTGACTGAGACCAGGGGTGACCGGGTGCAGAGTTGCCGCTGCTGGCGAGGACTGTTAGTGCCATCTGAGAATGTTGGGCAGGACTGGCAGAGAGGGTGGCCATCAGGTGGTCTCAGGGATGGGCAGGAGCTTGCCAGAGAGAGAAGCAGGTCGTGGCCCCAGGGTGATGCGTACGGGGGATCAGGTGCCTGGGTGGGAAGGGGCGTCGCACGCCTGGCTCAGAGGCTTTGCCTAGGGGTGCTCACAGGCTCAGCTGACGTGAGGATGCTGATCAGAGGAGCTGAGGGTCCCACGCATTTGCAGTGAGCAGTGCCCGGGGCCCTGGACTGAGAAGGATGGCTGAGGGTGACGAAGGCGGGTGGACATTTGATGCAGGAGCCTGCCTTCTAGGCAGAAGGGCCATGGGTCAGCGTCTCTCCAGTGCCAGGTGGAGGGCTGTGCTATCCAGCTTCCAGGCTGAGCACCCACCCAAGCGGGGACTGCACGCTGAGGCAGGGGACACAGAGTGCCAGCTCTCTGGCTGTCAGCCCGTGAGAGGCCTGTCCCTAGAGCTGTCCTCTGGAAATACTTCCCGGAGTCGCACATCTGGTCACCACTTGCTGGCTGGGGCTATGGAGGGCAGCACAGGCCTGGAGTGTCCCCGGGCGCCTGCCCCTACGCACACCACAGGGCCTCCCGCCCACAGGGCCTAACTGGCAGCTCCATGGCTGCCATACCTGGCCCACCACCTTCAGCGGCCACACGTATCCTTGCCCCAAGCCAGTGAAGGAGGCAGGTCTGAAGAAGACACTAATGGAGCCGAAGCACAGGTCAGAGAAAACCACGCGTGTGCCGGACACTCACGGAGCACTTGATGCGTGCTGACTGGCTCTTTTGGACGTCACGGTGGTCAGACTGGGGAAGCATCCCCATTCTCCAGATAGTGAAACTGAGGCAAGGAGAGGTTAAGTAACTTGTCCGGGGTCGCAACCAAGGGAGTCAGACTCCAGGGTCTCGGCTCTGAGCGTCATGCACACTGCCCAGACGCCCCTCCACACTTCACACCTGTCAGGCCACCAGGAGTGTGGAGCCTTTCTGTGGCCTCGCTCCCCTGTGAGCCCCTGGGAGGAAGGCAGCCCAGGTTCCAGGCAGCGAGGGACGCGTGCGGGAGAGGGGATGCTTCCGGGGCAGGAGCCCAGAACCCTCACAGTGGGTTTTTCCCCAAGAGCCACTCCTGGTAGGTTTCCACAGTCCCCCCATCCCTGCCAGCCCCGACACAGCCTCTTTTCCCTCCTCTTCCTCCTGTTCTGTTTCTGCCTGCATTGGTCCAAAATGGGGAAGTTTCATATAAAAGGCAAACGGACCACAAAGCAGCTATTTCTGGAGCTGCTGCTGCCTTGCAGATTGGATTCTCGGGTGGCCTGTTAGGTGTTTGTTTTCGGGGTCCTTTGCTGTAAAAGAAGCCATCAACTAAGAAAAGGAGGAAGTGGCTTTGGGAGACTGAGACGGGAGGACTGCTTGAGCCCGGGAGATGGAGGCTGTAGTGAGCTGTGCTTGCACCGCCGCACGAGGCTGTAGTGAGCCGTGACCGCACCGCCGCACGAGGCTGTAGTGAGCCGTGACCGCACCGCCGCACGAGGCTGTAGTGAGCTGTTCTTGAACCGCCGCACAAGGCTGTAGTGAGCCGTGACCGTACCGCCGCACGAGGCTGTAGTGAGCTGTTCTTGCACCGCCGCACGAGGCTGTAGTGAGCCGTGACCGCACCGCCGCACGAGGCTGTAGTGAGCTGTTCTTGCACCGCCGCACGAGGCTGTAGTGAGCTGTTCTTGCACCGCCGCACGAGGCTGTAGTGAGCTGTTCTTGCACCGCTGCACGAGGCCGTAGTGAGCCGTGACCACACCGACGCACGAGGCCATAGTGAGCTGTTCTTGCACTGCCGCACGAGGCCATAGTGAGCCGTGACTGCACCGCCGCACGAGGCCGTACTGAGCCGTGACTGCACCACCACAGGAGGCCGTAGTGAGCCGTGACTGCACTGCTGCACTCCTTCAATCCCATCAGCTTGGCTGGGGCAGGCGTGGGAGGTGGGAAGTGGGGTTTTAAAGGAGAAAGACCACCATCTGGATCATAGACCAGACCTGAAAGGGGGTTGGCACTTTTAGGCATGTGGAGTAACTGGGACACACTGTCCTAGTGGAAGCTGTCAGTGGCCTCTGTGGCTGCTGTGGCCCCAGGAGAGGAGACACCTCTCTTCTGGGGCTGGGGCTCAGTCTGGCTCGGGGTCCGGATCCCCAGGAGCTTTCTGCAGAGTGTCCTGCCTGGGCTTTGCCTGGTCTGCATGCATCCCCCAGCCTGTGGCTCAGCCCGCCTCCATGCTCACAGCCATGCTGGCGCCCAGAAGCAGCCCTTGGCTTCCCTCCTCGTTGGCTTAACAAACCCCCTTTCTTCAGAGGAAGGGAAGTGTATGCTGTGGCCTGGTGGGACTGGCTGGGCTTGGGAGTTCCAAATGCTCTGTGTGCTTGGGGACAGCTGCTGAACCTCCCTCCGCTGCCATAGCCCTTTGGCCAAGGGCGTTCATCCACGACCGGCAGTAGCTGCTCTGTTTCGGTTATGGGCATCTGTGCATCGGTGTTTGGTTTAATGTGTGTAGCTGAATGTCTCATTTTGTTTCTCACAGTCATTCTGTGAAGTTCCCCCATGTCTGGGTGAGTGTCAGGTGGCTGCAGCCCTGGGTTCGGGACGGGCCGTGTTCCAGCAGCTCCTGCTGCAACCCCCCCATTCTTTCCCAAAACCAGAGAAGGGAAAACCTTCTCTCAGTGGGTGTCACATGTCAGGTGCTTTTTCTGTTACTGCATGTGATCCCACAAGGCAGGGAGTGTCCCCTTTTACGGATGGGGAAAGTGAGATCACATTGCATGTTGAAAGGCCGACGTGACCTGTCCACCCTTAGAGCTTCCAGCTCTGGGCTGGGAGTGCACGGGGGTTCTTCAGATGCAGATGGGCTTGAGGGATTGTGCTTCTCCGGTGTTCAGGTGTTTTTCTAGGGAGAGCCATCTGGGGTCTGGGCTGGGGTGGGGACAGCAGGAGAACAGGACAGGAGTGGCGACCCAGGGCCGGGAAGGGGGTAGGCAGGGGCAGCATACGGGGTGGAAAGAAGGGCAGTGTCACGAAGGCCCCTGGGAGGCAGCAGCGCGTCCCTTGGGGGAAGTCCCGCAGAGCGGCCATCCCTGAGGAGCTGAGATGTGTGAGGCTCGGCCTGAGGACACAGGTGTCTGTTGCCTGGGTTCAGGAGACCGGCGGGCACGTGCACCACCCCCCAGCCCGGCAGGGCACCATGTGACCAGGCCTGGCATCAGGACTGGGAGTGGCTCCTGCACTAGCCGGCATCTCCCTGGAGACAGGAAGGTGGGGCGCCTCCTGAGTTCAGCTGGGAACTCTGAGCTTTGGGTGCCGGAGGTCACCGTGTTTGGGATGGCTGCCTCATGGCCCCAGCTGCCTCTGTGTGTGGTGGGGTCAGCAGAGGGACCCCAGGCAGGCTGGACTCCATCGTGGTCCCGGAACCGAAGCAGGCACGCTATGAGAAGATAAAATCGCCTTGACGGGCTTTCCCTGGGACCTTTTCAGCACGCACCTCCTTGCTGTGCCCTGGAAAGGCGGGTGGCACTCTGGGTGACACAGCCTCAGGGTGCACCTCTGTGGCCCCTGCACCCTCCTGGCCCAACTTCCCATGAAATCCAGGCAGGGAGAGATGGGGCCTGGCCATGAGAACCCTGGCCCCAGGTGTCACCACCTTCCCCAAAGCCTTGTTT